TGGCGCCATGATTTTGAGACTGGCGCCGGCTGCGGCAGTCTCGCGTCAGGCGACAGACGCCATTGTCTGGCGCTAACTATCATCGTCTGGCGCCAGAATTGTTTCTGTGACGCTGATGTTTTGTCGATATTCTGTCGAATTTTTTATTAATTCTGGGATGCGAGATTTTAAAAAATAAAGTGGCCGCACCCGTAAGTGGTTTCCTACGTATCCTTTCTTAAGGAATCAGGCCAAACGTAGCTCTCTTGAGTATCCTACTCAAGTACTTATGGGTAGTACTTCTTAAGTTGGTCAAGATTTGTCATGTTCGAGAACTCTTTGCCATCCATATCAGTTAATTTTGCTACACCTCCTTACAGGATTGTTTTGACAATGTAGGGTCCAGACCAATTAGGTCTAAATTTTCCCCTTGGATCTAAAACATTTTTCTTTAATGCTTTTAACACCAAGTCTCCTACTTTGATGTTTCTTATCTTGACCTTCTTATTAAAATGCCTAGTCATACGAGTTTGGTAACACTGAGTGTGATGTAGAGCTTTTAGTCGTTTTTCATCGAGTAGAATTAACTTTTCATATATTTCCCTAGTCCATTCAACTTCATCGAGTTTGCTCTCTAACGCGATGCCGTAGAGATGGAATCTCTAGTTCGACAGGTTGTACGGCATCCATTCCAATACCAAGGAAAATGGCGTATTCCTTGTTGTTGTGCGAATTGAGGTGCGATAATTCCACAATGTGAAGTGAAGTTTGTCAGGCCAATCCTCATAATTTTCCGTCATTTTCTCGATGATAGTCTTTAGATTCTTATTAGCTGCCTCGACTGCTCCATTTGCTTGAGGACTATATGGGGAAGAATGATGATGTTGAATGCCATATTTTTGTAACAATTCTTCACATTCGGCTTGAAAGTGAGTTCCATTGTCACTTATCATTTCATGTGGGACTCCGTATCGACAAATAATATGTCTCTCTATAAAGAGTGATACATGTTTTGTAGTGATATTAGCGTATGATTGCGCCTCGACCCACTTTATAAAGTAATCAATTGCCACTAGGATATATTCGTGGCCTCCTGTTCCTGGGGGAGTGATTTTGCCGATGATGTCAATTCCCCATGTAGAGAACGGCCATGGTGACATGTAGGTGTAGAGCAAGGATGGAGGAACATGCTGCAAATTGGCATAGATTTGGCACTTAGGGCATCTTTTTACGTATTGATGGCAATCCCTATTCATTTTAGTCCAATAATATCCTTCTCGCATTATCTTTTGGATTAACATTTTGCCATTTATGTGAGTGCCACAGATTCCTTCGTGGACTATCCTCATTGCTCTTTGGGCATTCTTTTTTCCTACACATAAGGGAGCTCGACCCTTAGGTACCCGTTTATGTAGCTCGCTGTCTATGAATACATATTGGGAAGCCAAGAGTCTTAAAGCTCGTTTTGCTCTTTTGTTAGCATGGGGAGGGTATTCTCCTTTAGTGACATAATTGAGTATATCCGTGTACCACGGTTCTTCTCCTTCTCCTTCTTCGTCTTGGACTACTTCATCATCTTCTATAGCCTGAATATATGCTGGTTTGTGCCTTTTTTCTATAGTTAGAGACATTTGCTCGATTTCCGTGGGAATCCTAACCATCGAGGCTAGTCTTTCCAAAGCATCAGCAAATTGATTTTCTTCTCTAGGTAATTATGTGTATTCTACCTTCTCTAACTGATTAGTAAGAGTTTCCATATAGGTTTGGTAAGGGGCTAGACTTTCACGCCTTACTTTCCACCTTTTGGATATTTGATTGATGATTAATGAAGAGTCTCCGAATATCCGTAACTTTTTTACTCCCAATGCCAAAGCTGTTTCAAGGCCTACCACGCATGCTTTGTATTCAGCAGCATTGTTAGTAACGTCGAAGTCAAGCTTTATGGAGATTGGGACATGCTCTTCTTTAGGTGATACTAGTAATACTCCAACGCCACATCCCTTTTGGTTTGAGGCTCCGTCGAAGTATAAGGTCCAAGTATCATCTTCGGTGACCATCAAGTCTTCATCTGGAAATTTGTTATCTTTTATTGGCGTCGAATCTTCTATTAGAAAGTCCGCTAGAAAATCTGACACCACAGATCCTTTGATAGCTTTTTGTGGCATAAACCTTACATCAAACTGGGCTAAATTGACTATCCATCTTGATATGCGTCCATTGAGTGTAGATTTCTTGAATAGATACTTGAGTGGATCTAATCGGGAGATACAAAGATGGTATGCACTAGCATGTAATGTCTTAGCTTGGTTGTAGCCCACACCAAGGCGAGGCACAATTTCTCAAGTGGTGTATAACGTGCTTCATATTCGAGCATTTTCTTGCTTAGATAGTAGATTTCTTTTCTTTGCCTTCTACTTCTTGTGCTAGCATAGCTCCCATTGTCTCTTTGGTAACTGATAAGTACAACCTAAGAGGTATTCCGGGAAGTGCTGGTGCTAATACGGGAGGATTTGCAAGATAGGCTTTGATCTTTTGAAAGGCTTTTTGACACTCGTCATCCCATATTATTGGTACATTCTTCTTAAGCTTCTTAAAGATTGGTTCACATATCGTCGTCAATTTTGATATGAACCTACTTATGTATTGCAACCGGCCGATAAATCCTCGAATCTGTTTCTCGGTTTTGGGCGGTGGCATTGATTTGATTGCTTTTATCTTGGTTGGGTCTATCGCTACTCCTCTAGAGCTTATGACATAACCCAAAAGCTTGCCTGAGGTGACTCCAAAAGCACACTTAGATGGGTTCAACCTCATATTGTATTTTCTTAGCCTTTCGAAAAATTTCCTTAAGGCTACTTGATGGCGTGGGCGGTCTTTTGATTTTACAATCATGTCGTCGACATATACTTCGACTTCTTTATGCATCATGTCATGGAGTAAGGCAGTCGCTGCACGTTGGTAAGTGGCACCCGCGTTTTTCAACCCGAATGGCATTACCGTGTAGCAGTAAGTGCCCCATGGTGTTATGAAGGTTGTTTTCTCCATATCTTCTTCTGCCATGAGAATATGATTATAACCTACATATCCATCCATGAACGAGAGAAGTGCATGATTTGCTGTGTTATCTACCAGAATATCGATGTGTGGTAAAGGGAAGTTGTCCTTTGGACTTACCTTATTTAGATCTCGATAGTCGACACACATTCTTAATCTTCCGTCTTTTTTCGGAACTGGGACGACGTTGGCGACCCATTCGGGATATTTAGACACCTTGATGAAACCTGCGGTTATTTGTTTTTGGACCTCTTCTTTTATTTTAAGAGCTACGTCGGGTTTCATTCGACGTAACTTTTGTTTTACAGGTTTAATTCCCGGAATTAGTGGTATAGTGTGTTGAGCTATTTCTCCATTAATGCCTGGCATATCTTCGTATGACCAAGCAAATACATCGATAAATTCTTTAAGTAAGTTAATTAAATCAGCTCTTTCTTGTTCATTAAGTGCCAGTCCGATTTTAACTTCTCTTTTATTGGTTGAATCATTTGAGATATCAACCGTCTCAGTTTCTTCAATTATCGGTGTTTTCTTTTCGAGTGTTTCCATTGCTTTAATAAGTTCTTTATCTTTTTCATTGTTAGTTAAGCAATGCTCGTCATCTTGGGTTAGAGAAGAACACAAGAAGTAAGGAGAAGAAGATATATTATTGTACTCTGAGATCATTACATCAAAGAGTGATATGTCCTCAGGGACTTGATCACTAACTGTTCTAGGAGAAGAGATAGAAGGGGAAGGTGCTACTACTAAAGACCTAGCCGACTCTATAGGGAGAGACTCTGACTCTGACTCAGACGACTCTTCGAACATCGGTCCTTGCCTTGTCGTGATGGATATCTTTCTTTCGCTTGGAGTAGTCACCTTGACGGTCTTGCGCCACCCTTGTAGTGATCCTTCCGCTGGAGTGATTAGTTTCGAGAGATCGAAGCTTTTGCTTTGTAGGACTGTTTGTATGAGCGAGGAGTTATCCTCTGTGTAAGTCGGCTCATCCTTTTCTCGCCCAAATAATAATCCCATGATGTTAAAGTCAAAGCATGGGGGTGCTTTCTCCTTATGGACAGGAGTTGGGATTTCATCTGTGAAATAACAATCCAAGAAAATTTCAAATCCCTACGACAAATGGCTCGGGAAATTCATGGCATGGATAGTCCTCTCCTTTTTTTATGAATTGACCATTAAGTGTAAGAAGGTACTGATCCATTGCGATTGCTTTCTTTTGAATGCGAGCGTCCCTATGTGCCTTTGATTTTTCCTGGGCTCGCTTAAGATCTTTCCGAGTCGGTTCGAAACCAAGTCCGAAAGTATCTAATTTAGGGAGGTCAGGTGACTCCAGCAGTTTTCCTATTCCTTTCTTCTTTCCTAGGGTCATCTAAGGAAAATGTCCTTGTTTCTTCAGAATAGCATTTACAATCATGTTAGAATGGGGGTCATGGCAAAGAGGGTTCCTTTCATCCTCCTAGATTAAGGAGACCTCTTCGTTAAAGCCCCATAAATCTTCATCATCCTCATCATGCTCCACGTTAATTATTGGATTTTCTATAGACTTGATTCTCATAGGTGAAGCATCGATGGTGATAGGAATTCCCCCAACTATGACTTTTACTTGTTGGTGGAGAGATGAGGGGACGACCTTTAGGTCATGAAGCCAAGGGCGTCCCAACAATAAATTTAATGAAGCCTTGATATCTACTACTTGGAAAGTAGTAGCATGTTCTATTGCTCTTGCCAAGTAAACCTTGTCAGATTTCGGATGAAGTTTGTCATAAATGAGTTTCTTGACATATGCTTCACATCCCCAAATCTTTAGATTTTAGTTTTCCGGCGCTTTTCTACATTGTAGGTATTGTGTGACATAAAAAACCGTCCTGAAATAACATGCACTGCACGTGACTCGTTAATCTAGCCCGGGACTTCAAATTTTTAGTAAAAAAATAAGAGGGCTATTATTTTAGCTGCCTTAGGGTTTAATTAAAATTAAAAAAAATGCTTTTCACTCATACAGGCTACTAGTAGAGCAAATTGATACTGAGTAGAAAAAAACCCCCTTTAATTCTCAATTTCTCACACAACAAAACCTAAATTTTTATAATCTGCTATCATCCTCATACGATCGAATCTTCGAAACCGCTAGAAATTTTGTTAATTTGGCTTGCAATTGTTGGATTTCGTTCTTCCCCGTAGCGATTTTGTCCTTTTTTGGTAATCTCTTAGCTCTTGTTATCAATTTCGTTGCTTTAATTTAGTTAATAATTGAATTGGTCGCTTAATGTTGATATCTTATTTAAAATTGCTCTGTTTTTTCATTGCATGTTCGATGTTCTGGGAATTGCATTTGCTATTGAGGTTTCCGAACAGTGCAGAAGATACGAACGATCATAATCAGGTTGTAATCAATTAAATTCCTCTTTGTTTATGGTAATTTTGACGGGTAATTTTTTAACAATACTTGAATTAGACAAGTAAAACTATTTAACTAATTAAGAGGTATCTAATATACTTTCAATCTGATTTAAGCTTAACTTTCAACATGATTATTTAAGATGTATCTCTACGAAATATTTTGGGTTTGGATGGATTTGACATTGAAAGTCAGATTATGTTTATTTTTCTAGTTTTTTATTTTATTTTGCAAATTTTAACTTATTTGGGGTTTGTTGGTTGGAAGTTTGTTATAGAGATATAATATTAACCACTCTTTTTATTATAGGAGGTTTAGAGTTTAAGTGATTATTCATCAGTATTTACTTGATGATCATATGAGGTTTGTTCTCCCCTCGACCCCCCTCCCAAAAAAAAAAAAAAAAATTGATTGTATTTGTTTTTGATGTTGGGTTTTGTAATTTGTAAGGTATAAATTGTAGTGTTTTGATCTTATAATCTAGATTAATGTATGTTTATATCAATAAAGATTATAATTTTAACTTGACTTGGTATATATTGTCGTGTTTTTTTATTTCTATTTCTTAAAAAGCTAGCTATTGGTACTGTATTGTTTCTAAATTTTAAAGTAGTTGAGCATCTGTCAAGTTGCATGTTACTAAACTAGTTCATCTGAATGACTAATCCTCCCTTGCTAAGATATATTTTAATGTGATGATATTGTATAAAATATATAAGTTATTATTGTACATTTGTACAACTACAAGCTTGAGTATTTGCCTAAGTTAGTAGATTAAGATATTTTCTTCTATCTTTACTAGGATAAACTATTGTTGGCCATCCTTGATGTCTTGTAAAATCATATCCTATAAGAGTGTGCAGACTATGCCAAATATGAAATTAAAGTCACATTGTTGTTATTGTGGTTGCTAGGTGAAAGGGGAGGAGCTTGTCAAAAAATAGTTCGTGAATTAATTAGCGGAGCTTGTGGCATTTAATTTGCTGCATCATGAGGTAATTATTCAAAATCTTTATTATGTTATATGTTGTGTATAGTTTTATATGTTATTTAATGTGTTATAGAACAATAGATTGCCCTCACAAATAGTTTAACTACATTATTTTTTGTTTTAGATTACAAAATTTTTATTACATCATTGCACTTGAATAGTGAAATATTATTGTATACAATTCATGGTTACATGTTTATGTGCATTTTGACTATACTATGTCACTATGTGTAAGTTTCTTTTTATGTGTGAATGCTGCCATGGGGTTTTCTTTTGGTGTAACTACATTGATACCATCATATATGGAAACCTTAAAAGGGAAACCTTGATAAATTATTTACCATCCTTGTTAATATTGAGAATCAATTACTTCTTTGCATATGTAGGGTTTAGTTTATCACTTATACTCTTTTAATTATAAAATTTATAAACTATAATAATATAGATAAGCTTTTACCAAATGATGAATGATTGGTTAGTATTGGTAGCTTATGAAATCTTTCAAATATCTCCTTACAGAGTTTATACAAGCCATGTTTTTTAATGTGAAATCTAAAATAAGTATACGAGGAAAATTATTATAGATCTAAGTGGTTGAAGTGTTTTGTATTATCAAATACTCATTAATAATCATTATAAATTATATATTTCGCTGTAGATATGGTTAGTTTGGATACTAGTTGGATTGATTCACGAAAACGCAACTCTGCCTATTATGACGGTGGCATGAAATTCTTAGAGTAAGCTAAGAAGAGTCTTGTAGAAGGAAAAACTCGATGCTCATGCAATCAGTGTAAGATAAATAAATGGTATCCTATAGATGAAGTAGGAGGCCACATTTTTTTAACGGTTTCTATAGGAATTATAGAGATTGGATTTTCCATTATGAGGGTGAAGGGAGTAACACCTTAAAGCCCCTTAGTGATCATGGGAAGGAATTAGCTCAAGATGATAGGTATAGACTACTAATAGAAGCTTTTGGGGTCCGCAATGCACAGTTCACTACTGAATTCCAAGGCCCATCATTAAGTGAATCAGATTTTGAAGACGAAGGATCAAATGACATGATGCATGAAGAGTTTAATTTTCATTGTGAGGTAGATGAAGAAATTCCTTCAACTAACTCCGATGAAGAAGTGGCAAAGTACAAACGTCTTATGGAAGCTTCTAATGAGGGTCTATATGTGGGGTTTATTAATTTCTCAAAGTTATCAATTCTATTACACTTATTTCACCTTAAGTATATGTTTCATTGGTCTGCCGAGTCATTTAATAAGTTGCTTGAACTTCTAAATGATGCATTTCCTTTTATCGAAGAGTTTCCATCGTCTTACTATGAAGGCATCAAGATAATCAAGGACTTGGGATTAGGATATGAGAAAATCCATGTGTTTAGGGTAATTTTACCCCGCCACGTGGTCCAATCAGGGGATGACACGTGTCAGCCCCAGGATGGCCCAAGGTGGACCTATCCATGCTTGACATGTGTCACTCTAGAAACCAGGGAGGAATGGCGGCCTTAAGGCCTAAATCCCGAGAATGCGGCTATGCCCACCAATGATTAGGGTTCTGTGACCTAATCAGGGGCACAAATCCCGAGGACCCTATAAATAGGGAGATTCCCCTCTTTCGGAGGACACGTTTTAACCATTTATTACAAACTGTCCCTGTGATAGAGACATCTGAGCTTGGAATCCGAGCAGAGACCCACCTAAATTTCCGCACCTTTTTCTCTCCCTTCAAGTTACTAACTTGTTCGTCGGAGGCGGAGCACCACCCAACCGGTGTCTCCGTTTGTTTTGCAGGTACAGCTTACGCCGGATCAGTTTTTGTGTTGTAACTCTCCCGAGGGACAAAAACACCCAAAACATTTGGCGCCGTCTGTGGGGAGAGTACCTGAAAGATGGTTCAAAAGTCTGTACCACCTCCTAATCTTCTGGGCGATGACCCAGAAGTCTTTACAGACCAGGAGGATGAAGATCTTTAGGTTGAAACCTATACAGCCGATGATGGCTCTCTGATAACCAAACGCATCCGGCCCAGAGAGACTCTGGAGCGGGGTGCCTCCCAGGCGGGTACAAATCGACCCCCTGGACAGCCGGAAGGGGAAACCCATACGGCAGCTGGATCAACACCCGTCACCCGAGACGAACTCATGAGATTCATGACGAGTTTCAAGGGTGAAATTAAAGAGCTGATCACTAAGAGCCGGGCTGGCCCAAGTAGAGGCCAGTCGGCCAAGAAGACTCCTCTGGAAAAGGGAAAGTCGAGATCGGTAGCCCACTCGTCATCCAAAGGAGATGGTAGCCGGGACCATTGATTGGTCCAAAATTCTTCTTCCTAAGAGGAATACCAACAATACCCGCCGGACTCAACATCCGGTGGAAAGTAAAAAATCAACTCTTGATGCCCGGGAAATCATCAACCGGAAGAGAAATCAACAGTTGTCTGAGTCAGCTTCCACGTCGAACTTTCCTGACAACTTCAACAACACCTCTACAGGGAATGCACTTTCCCTGCATGAGAGCCAAACAGGCGGTAATACCGTCCATTCTGGCCCTCAGATGATAGGAACTGTACCGTATGTACCATCTCAGGTGTACGGTCAGTATCCCCCTCACTTCATGCAGCCGACCCTCTTTGGAGGTCAGGATGTCCAGCCACTGGATTGGAAGCTCCGTCTACTTCGCCTGGGTGAACAACCTTCTGCGTTCACCTGGGAGATAACCGAGGCGGCACAGCCGGCCAAGGTTCAGAATGTATTGGTAGGTACCTATGATGGTACCACCAACCCGGAAGATCACCTCATGGCTTACACCAACCTCATGTACTTACAGGGGTTGGATGATGCCGCTTGGTGTCGATGCTTCCCGGCTACATTGAAGGGCATTGCCCAACAATGGTTTGGCAACTTGCCAGCCGGGTCTATTGATAGTTTCAGGAAGCTTGCCTTCCTGTTTGCTTCCAACTTTTCAATGAACATCCCTGCTAAGAAAACAAGCCTGGACTTGAGTACCATTAAGCAAGGGGAGAGAGAAGGGCTGCGCTCCTATGTCAGGCGGTTAAATCTGATTAGAATTCAGATTCAAGGACTGTCTGATGAGGTAGCTTTTACAGACTTTTTCAAGGGTCTGAGAGACGGGTCGACTTTTAAGTTCGACCTAGTCAGAAAAGGGGCTTTCACTTTACAGGAGGCCCTGAAGGAGGCGGAAAGCTATATTCAAGCAACCGACCTCTGCTCGCCTGGTAATCAGTCGGACTCCAAGAAGTCTAACAAACAGAAAGACAGCCGGCCTGCTCAGCCAGCCAAAAATAAAGAAGAGAGCAAGAAAAGAAAAGAAATCTGGGCGGTTAGTGACTCTAACCAGCCGTCCCAGAAGAAAAAGAAATAATTTAAACCGTACGTCACTAAGTACGAGTTTAACATGGACTGCAACTCCATCCTCATGGAAATTAAGGACCGGCTGTCCCTAGAGAAGCCGAATCCAATGAAAAGTTCCATTCAATCAAGGAACAAGAACAAATTCTGCCAATACCATGAGGAAGTTGGCCATGACACCAACGACTGCTTCAGCCTTCAACGGGCGTTGGACCGTTTGGCTGACAAGGGGATGTTAAAGTCCTACATTTCTAAGTCCCCAGCCGAGGCAAAGAAAAAGAACAAGGGTCAGTCCTCCAAGACTAACCCCCAGCCTGTAGTAGCTCGGATGCCGACAAGGAGCCGATCTACACAATAGCAGGCGGGTTCTCATGTGGTGGCCCTACCATCCGGGGCACCAAGAGCCATCTTTGAAAGATGGACAAAGATGATGATGAGCAGGCATCTGCAAGCTCCTCCTTCCCAGACGTCCTGATCACTGAGAAGGACAGGGGCAGCGTCCGCCGTCCGCATGATGACCCGGTCGTCATTGAATGTAAGGTTGCCAACCAGCTGGTTAGACAGATCCTTATTGACACCGGCAGCTCATCAGACATCATCAGCCTCCGGTGCCTGCAAAAGCTGAAATACAATGTCAACAACATGTATTCGGTCACCACCCCTCGGTTGGTTTTGGGGGTGGGATGGTCTACCCAGCTGGAAGAATTGACTTACCAATCCGGCTGGGAGAGAAAGGCCAGGGACGACATATTGTCGTCAGATTCTTGGTCGTTGAGGAGTTGACCGCCTACAACATATTATCGTTGGTCGGCAAACTCTCAACAAAGCCAAGGCGGTTATCATCCCGTCTCTCATGCTCATCAAGTATGAGAGATATGACGGCTCTGTTGGTTCCTTGAATGGGGATCAAAAGACGGCCCGGGAGTGCTATCTCTCAGCCGTCAAAGATACTGTGGCCCCAGGTGGCCAGGAACCAATAGACCTTGACAATGTCAAGGATGCCGAGCCAGTACCTGCCCCACCAGCAGTCGGGAAGAAAAGAAAGGCACCTCTGCTGGTGGAGGTGAAGAAAGAGAAAAAATAGCAATCACTGGCCGGCGAACGGTCAGACGAGCTCCGTCCCCAACCGGCTGGTGAAAACATTGATCTCGCTCTGGATGACGCTCTGGATGACAGCCGTCCAGAGCGTACTATAAAGGTTGGGACGGTTGCTCATGCTACTCTGGGTGCAAGATTGTACCTTCTGCTGAAAGAATTCAAAGACATTTTTGCCTTTGAAGTGGAAGAGATGCCAGGCGTCAGCCCGGATCTCGCTGTCCACAAACTCGCCGTGGACCCCAAAAAGAAGCCCATCCGGCAAAAGAAAAGAAACCACGGCAAGGAAAGAAGTCAGGCGGCAGCTGCCGAAGTCAAAAAGCTGCTTGACGCCAAGTTCATTCGGCCTTGTAATTTCCCCGACTGGATGGCCAATGTGTTCCTTGTTAAAAAACCGAATGGGACCTGGCGCATGTGTGTTGATTACACAGACCTCAACAAGGCGTGTCCAAAGGACAGTTAGCCGCTTCCAAAGATTGACAGTCTGGTCGACTCTACAGCCAGTCACGCCTTAATGAGCTTTATGGATA